CAAAATATTCTGTCACAGACTATTTTGAAAGGCTCCAGTAATTCATCAAAAGTAAGCTGAAGAGGTTTTTAAGAACGAATTAGAAGTATTTTCCATCCTGCAAATCTAAATGCGAAAACCGCTTACCCCTAAAATATTGTCCCGAATGACAGGAGAGGAGGCGGCAAGTAACTGAAGAAATAAAGAGAAGGTAATAATAACTGGCGTCGATGTCGGCGTGACAGCACAAGCAAACGCGGCCCATACTCTATCTCACAAGTTGCGAGCAGCAGAAGCAAAGGCACGGCCGATAACGCGCGGCTTTTAGAAGTGCCTTTGTAAAGGGAGCACTTGTGCCAAATACATAAAATATTAAAAAAATTAAATCCCGTTTCCTTCTTTGTTAGTGTTTTTGATGGAGGCTACCAGTAGGGAGTTTTAGTAGACCGTCCCGATAACACCGATAACGATGCCCGATGCTCCTCCGGCGCCTTTCCGCGTGCATCGTTTGGTTATCGGGTACCGTTACGGGGGGCTATTGGACGGCCTACTAAAACTCCCAAATACTGCGCGATTGGTAGGGTTTTGCTTTTGTTTTATTTTTTCGCCCTCATCATCTCTCTCTCTCTCTCTCTCTCTCCCCCCTTCCCCTCCTTTTCCTCGGAATCGATCGGATAGCGAATCAAGAGTTCAAACGAGTCGAAAGATCCAATGTTGGATCTCCTGATTCGTTAAACCTTTTGACTCGTTGGACCTCTCGACCCATTTTTGACCTCTTGACCCATATTGGATCTCTTGACGCGTTGGACCTCTTGACCATAAGCGTAACCCCCCCCCCCCCCCCCCCCCCCCCCCGTCCCACCCAACCTGACCCATCAATCTGGACGTCAACCTGAGGTTTCCAGGAGGTTTCATCGACAACCAGCCAGGCACACGTCATTCAGTTCACCTGGAGTTTGTTCACGAGTACGCTACATTCTACCTTCGTCACTTTGTTCGAAGGAAAACCTTCCGCATTCGTTCAGGTTTTCTCCAGACGTGCAAGTACGCCGAGGCAAGGCGATTATGGCCGTGGCCATCGCAATGTCCCGGTACATCTGCCCCTTGCAGCCCGGACGGAGATTACGGGGCTGCAAGGGGGGTGCATTGCGACAGCCACCTAAGCTGGTTCTTGGTTTTACGCTGTTGCCAGCAGTGAGAAAAACAAAATCCGAGGCTCAGCTTCCTAGAGGAAGCCCCCCTTTGTCCATCAGTTGACTGATCCGTCAAGTCGAGGTCGCTTGGGAAGGAAAAGGGGGCGCTATGGCACTGTATGTGGGCGGGAGTGTCGTCGACAGTTTGCTCCGGTACGCACACAGCTCTATTTTTTACAGCCCCGTTTTTCCTCGTTCAAGGTTCGAGTTCGACTAGAGCTTCCGCCGGGGGACTCGCTAAAAACGACAATTAACCAGCCTCCGAGACGACGTCGTTTTCTAGCTTGAAAAACGCGTCTGCGTCACGGCTGGGAATGTGATGCTGCTCACAATCCGCAGAATTGTCAAGGGACAAAACCGCGTTACCAAAAAAACCCCCACATTTATGACGAAAAAAATAAAATAAATAGACATAATGAAGATAGGAAAAAAACGCAGTCGAGCTGGTGAATGGCATACATATAGTAACCCTGAGACATAGGAATAATAAGAAAAGCCGTGTCAGCGACTTCGTTGTTCTGTCCGTTTTCTTATTATTCCTACGTCTCAGGGTTACTATGCAAGACGTAATGAAGTTTACTTCTGGCATGGCGACGTCGCGAATGAGAAAGTTCGTGGAACATTAATTGTCGTCAGAGTTAAGGAAAACAACGGCGTGTTCTGCGCGCTATTATTCATTCCCTCCTTTCTACCCGCTAAAACAACCACAAAAACATTCGCACGGTGTTTCGAAATGTCTTAGCTACCAATAAGCATCATAATAAAATGAATCGATTATTTCATTCGGTGTTTCACTATCTTTTTTTTTTTTTTTTTATATCTTTCTGCGCAGGGGGAGATTGAAGGGGGACAGAAACAAATAAAGCCTCGTGCCAGTGTTCGATTTAAGCCGCATCCGCAGGATCTACGCTCATACAGTCCATTATTTGATCTAATACCTTAGTTTTGAATAAAACATTCGAAGCACAGTCCGAACGAAGCCTTCCCGGCCTTCTTGGGTACAGCCGCGCGTCTCCTGCTTTCAAATTTTATTGCATGGGTCGAAAACTTGGGTTCAGAGTTTAGGAACCCCGAAGAAAAGCTCACCCGATTTGTGGCGGGACCGGAAAAAAAACTCACCCGTCTTTGGACAGACCCATAGGAACGCACACTTTGAATTAAATTCGTACGCAATGGGATCGTTATAATTGTAGATAACTGGTGCAACAGTCACCTCTCACGTAGGCGGTGTTCAAGACAAGGCGTTTTGCTGCCGCCCACGTTCTACTTCCATTACAATCGTCTTCGCGCTACTCATGTTGACGCAGCTGCAATGGAGTCAGCATTATCTCTTTTTGTGTTTGTCATTTAGGACTTAAATCTGAAAGCGTACCTTCTTAGACAAATGGTGAAATATGAAGGTTTGGCATAGCTTATGCAATGCCTTCTGCTGCATAAAAGTTAATGAAATGTATCAACATTCAGGAATTGCTCGAGCTGCATCCGATTACACTGGTTATTGTTTACTCCGACTATTTTTAATTACCGTTCTAGGCTTTAAAAAAGTTTTGTCGTTATGTCGCTTAGGATGTGTATCTGACTGATAGTGATGTGCAGAATAACATATATAGTTCAGATGAGTGAACGTCTTGAGCTGAGTAAACGTTCGATTTACATATTCGTAGGTGAGCTCTTCTCCACAACTAACAAAAGGTCGGTGAGCTTTCCTCCGCATCCGACAGTTTCGCGGCTTTACTCCAGTGAGCTTACCTCCGGTGAGCTCTTCTCTGCCTTCTCGAGTTTGAAGAGACAGACCAGGGAAACCGTTTTTCAGCCGACACTCGGGGGCCACGTGTTTACCCCACGCTTCTAAGATGCTTTCCGATGATTATTAACTACAGATTGAGAACGCTATAATCCCTTTGAATGTTTTAAGTGTCAAAGTGTCCTTTCGGCGTTCTTTTCCCAATCGCAAGGATCCTTGCAAGCAAAGGCATGGTCAAGTTCGGTAAGCTCTCTGTCGATGGGGGTCCATACCACACGAGCGACGTTTGAGCGAATCGACGTTTTAGCGAATATCGGGGCGCGTGTTAAAGGGACACAGACAGGGTATTTATGCTCGCCAAGGTTTTTATTTGTACATGACGAATGAGAGCCCAACTACCCAGAACACAATTTGCGGCTCGAAATTCGTTTACTTTCCACCCGAAAAACACCGATTGAAAACTGGATGGTTTGGTTTGAGTCGCGCTCACTCTCTTCTCCGTGGTCACGTGCCGTTTTCCATGGTTCAGACACAACCACCAACTACGATCAAAGTCGTCGGTCATCGAAGGCACAAGCACAATATTAAGAATAGAAAAGAAATATGATACCCATTTTTTATGGATTTTAAAAGGCTGCAAATACATTGATTGAAAAAAAAAAAAAGTATCACAGCCACGTGACTTCCACCAACTCTCTCTCTCTCTCCTTTATACTTCTTCTTCCTCCCCAGTCCAGTTTCGGTTTCAAGAAGTGGCGCTTTTTGACTTCCTTAAAAATATACGTGACGCTGCAGCAAAATATTTATTGGGTAGTCTTCTGACACCCTAAGAAATCGCCTGCCAAAAAAGAAAAACATAAATTTTGGGGGTGTCCCTTGCCAGCCTTCGCGGCGACATTCAGCGGTGGCTCATTACAAAAATGTGAACGCATTGGCCCACCCGTAAACGCCGCTTGGCGGCGGCCGACTTTTCGCTAAAGTGTCATTCGGTGAGACATGGGCGTTCGCTCAATTCGATCCAGTGCGTGGCTCCCCCGTTGATGGGCAGACAGCGGGTCAGGCGAGGGAAGAAGCCTTCCACCGCCCAGTCATGCGTGAGTAGCCACGACGGCACCAAGCAGTCTCGACTCGAGCATGTGTGACCTGGCGACCTTGAGACAACATATACGCTTTCAGGCAGCTGCGCATGGACGCCGCCATAACCGACCCTCAGTTTTTGTTTCCTCTTACTACATTTACTTCGTCATTGCCACAGCAGCACAGGCTACTGCCATTTAAAGTGCTACTGCGTCCTTCTCCTCAGCATCGACCTTTGTGGAGGCTCGTCAACGCCCGCTTCAGTGGCTACGTATCTCTGGAAAACAAGAGAAGGTCGGCAATGGCATCTGTGATCCGCTCGAAGATGCTTTCTTCGCACCACCCCGTCGCGGTATGTAGGGCGTGGCAGAAAGAGGAGAACACATCCCCGAAAGACAGCTTGGGATGATCGGGCAGAGCGCAGTAATGACGAGCTTTGGAACCAAGGATAATACCGACCAGTCATAAAATAAGACACAGTTCCACTGACAAAGAGAGATCCCAGCCTTCCGCAGTGCTTGGGCTGCGCGTGCATGCTCCAAGCTGCCAAAGTGACATCCAAGTTCCTGCGCTAGGCAACTGAAGCTCCTCCCCATATATATTCGACGAGGCACCGGGCGTCTATTTTATTACTCGCTAGAGATGTCTTGGGCGATGGCGTAGATAATAGGCTAACAACTTTATTCGGGGCCCCCGGCTACGCCACTGGTCTCGAAGGACACGGTTCTATTTAAAACCCTAGTCGTATTCTCCTATTTTACTACACGCGCCCTGTTGAATACGATACTGCTAGCTAGCCCGAGTAGCTGGAGGTAACACTAAAGAACGCTACACCGACGTCATTACACGACGATTACGTTGAAGAAAGAAACAACGTATCAGTGATTTGCGAGTGTAGACAATTCCGAAAAACAAGACAAACCCGAAGCGAAATGAATAAATAGAAAGTTTCCATAGCGATAGTGCTTGGTGGACGCGTTCTGCTTATGTATTCCGGATGGCAGGAGAACAATAACGGTGACGTCACAACGGCAGCCGCGAAAGAGGAACAATCAGTGTCCGAAACGTCACACCTCGACGGGACGACGCTCATTGGCTGCAGAAACGGCGTCACCGCCAAAAATTAAGGGAGGGAGGAAAGGTGGAACACACCAGTCGCCGCCGCACCTGCTTAGTGTGCCCAGATTCGAGAGATCGGAATCACGTGGTTTGCGATGCTGCGAGGGTTCGCCGTTCGATTGCCCCGCGTGAGTCGAGTTGCTCCCTCTGTGGAAGCTGGGCTCTTCCCAGCTGCTCGGAGGAGAAGCCGACCGGGTGGTGCTAGAAAAAGGCAGCCCGCTCGAGGTCGCCCCGAGCCTTCTCGCCGCACCAGTGGAGGGAAACTGTGGCGCGCCTTCTCGGAGGACTCAGTTCGTCAAGTGACGGCGCCGGATCAAGCGGGGAACCTTTGGGACAGTGCGGACATTGCGCAGCCACTGGATGCTCCAGGACGCCCAGAAAGCGGCCCAGGTAAGCCCCCCCCCCCCCCCCCCCCCCCCCTTTCTTTTCGGCCCGGTTATTTAGTTAGCAGCCCAATATCAATTTACTAACTAGAGCGTGCATTTTTTATTATTATTATTTTTTTAATCCGCGTTATCGGCGTTCAAATCTAAGTAAACGTCGGTCCCACGACGCCAATAAATCTAACCAATGTCGTTTTTTTTTTTGTTTGTTTTTTAGCCGGAACTTGGCTTTTGACCTTTTGACAGCTTGACAGACGAGAAAAAAGACTAATCAACCGGAGGGCGTGACCGATTCGGCGTTTGCTAATTTGCTTAGTCACTGGCTCGTTGGATTCAATCGTGCCACATGTACTGTCAATTCCAACATGAAAGTTTGCGATGCATCGGCTAAAAAGCGCGAAAAAAAAAAAAAAAAAAAAAAGCCGAGCAATCTAGACGTGCTTAGCCATCGTGAAGTAAGTCTGTTTTTCAGATATGGCGACACAGGCTGCAGATAGAAATTTCGCCAGTCGGATTGCTAGCCCGGGCTTCTTTAGTGCGCATCACGCAGTGCCACGAACGCCCGACGGTATGCCACGTTGGGTTCGACCCGCGTACAACTGGAGATCTTAAAAGCAAGTGAAACGGTAGAAATACATCGCTCGGTATTTTTTCTAGCTCAATCATTTCAGGTTGCATCTGCGCCAGATTAATTTGCGTCATGGCATAAGCGGAATCGGCGCCACCCACGCAGCCCACATCCGGGACACACTGACAGATATTACATAATCTTTTTTTTTTTCGTTTTACTCGAAGTGCGTAAGTTGGGGGAAGGTTCGAGAGGCGTTTTCTCAGCCGGTTCGGCACCGCGCAGCGAGTCCCAAGGCGCGTTGCGTAGCCGTAGCGGGGCGGCGATCTCTTCTTCCTATGTCGGTCACGGGGCCGTGAGCGCGTTCCGCGTCCGCTGTGGCGCAAGTGTTCGACCGGGACCCGGTTAGGGGCCCCCCTTTTGCCCGACTGACGCAACACGGCCGAATTGCCCACCCGAACTGTTCCAAGGACGGGCTTTTCCCACCCCGCTCTTCGAGGACCGCCGAATCGGGCACTACCACGGCACCCAATACCACAAGTGCCGCATCAGTGAAAAAGTCCTCCATAGACACTGAGCGAGGGGAGGTCGAAGCACCGAGCTCTGGTTGGAAAGTACGTTGCCTCTGTCTCTAGTCACTGCTCGAACGCGCTCGAACAGGGAGTAGAGACCTTTGCGTACTGATCCTTCCAACCAGAGCTCGGAGCTAAGGCGCCCTTCTCTGCTTCTCCCAGATGCACGCGCTCGTTGGCGTGCCTTGGCGAGACGACCAAGTGTTATCGAACGACTCGCGCTGGAGCAAAAAGTTTGCTTGGACTTTCGTGACTACAGCTTGGAAAGTCGTTCGACACGTGCTGGGACGATGTGGCGCCTTTGCACCCTGCGTGGTGATATTCAAGAAACGGGGAAGCTGGTCCAATGGGAAATGCCAGGAACCTCACGAAAGCCCGAGCTCGCTGCCGGCCGACGGCTCAGAGCCAGCAGAACGTTGGCTTCCGGTATTCCAGGGTTCCAGATGCTTTGTCGAGTGACGCTATCCCTGTTGTCACTCGACGTGTGGTGATTCCAAACTGTCGTACATAGAGGACACAGTCCATGGGCACACCGAGGCGCTACGTTCTGACTGACACAAACATAATCGTGCAGATCTTTGTGTTTCTCCGATCTTCCTCGTGTTGTGCCGTCAGGAGTGGTTAGAGAGTTGCCTGCGCCCTTTCCTGCGCGAGTGGCTTAGACGCCTGGCAGTCCAATCTGAAGAGAATGCTACCTCCAAAACAAGATAAACGACGCTTTTTCTGCCGTATGAACTTTCTGACGAACGCGGTTGATTGCTTCCTTGTAGGGCGGACGTCTCTCTGACGCCCCCCGTACGGGGTCAAGTCGTACCCCCGCAGAATGGAGCCTGGCCTCAAACACGCGCTGGCGACCCGACTGAAATACCGCGGGGCCCGACGCGTTGTTCAGTTGGTCCCCGCTGGAGACGGAAGCTACGAGCGATCTCAGGCGCGCTGTGACCGCGCTTCGCCCTTTCCGAAGAACACGGCGATGGACGGTTCGGCATCCCGTGGTCCCCCTATTCGAACAGCGTCGCCGTCCGAGGCGACCAAGTCGGTAATAAAGAAGGAACGAGAAAACAGTCTGGCACTCTGCTGATATCTGCGTGGATCAAACGTGCCTTCCAGAAGGGAGCCTGTCCAGGCCCCAAGCAGAACCTTCAAAAGTCCGCGCGGTAAGGACGGAGGAGTGCGAGGGAGATTGTTGGCCGGCCCCCGTGACCGCGGCCACCAGTTCACTGGGTCACGTTCCGACGGTCGAGAGCGGCGCTGCTTCGCTCGGTCTCCCTCCCCGCCTCCGAACAGGACGCCCGGCCGCCGACTCGAACGCACGCGGCGAGACGCGCTATGGAAAGAGATCTCCTTTCGCGTGTTTCACACCTCACGCTGTAGACGGCGCGGTACATTTGGAACATGCATGCGCTCGCGTGGCTCCAGGAAGTCCAGACATCTTCTTGGAACGTACGCTGACAAAAATGGGAGTAGTGCGTTACGAATAGTTACCAAGGCTGCGGACGACTAGGACGCTTTTTTTTTTCCTCGACAAACTTTCCGGCCATTCGGCTTCCAGTTACACGTAACTCCACTGCAGAAAAAAAAAAAAAAAAGTTTTTTTTTGTTTTGACATTGCAAAGGAAAAAGGCCTAGCACACGGGCCTGACAAATCTTTCCAAGGAGAGCTTTCCTCGAACGTGCTTTCAGTAGGAATACCAAAAACTTTTCCTGGGGCTTGTTCTCAACAAATGTACTATAATAAGGGTCCGCATTTCGCACAAGAGCACTGATATGCCGGCCTTTGTTTCTAGCCTTCGTCCGACGGCACGTCTGCACAGCTTTCAAGTGCCGTCCGACGGCACTCGGGCCTTCGAGTGTCGTCCGAAAGTGCTAAGCACAAGTCACGCTTTTTATTCTGACATGTGTTGCATGAGCCGCTCGCCGACAAATTGTTTTAACATAAAGCGTGAGCGAGACAAACGCTACAAAAGTGAGCAGCATGCTTTTTTCGCTATGCAGGTGCGCGCTCTACTCGAGTTTGCCCAAGTGACACTCTCTTCAATGTTGTGATTTGAAATAAATTTGATTTTAAATTTTACGTTCTTGCGTAACAACTGAAACCTCTCTATAAATGAAAACAAATTTTCTTTTTAAGGCACGTATAATGAATTTAGGCAAACATTTCTGAGACCATAGAGTGCTATACTCCGTCTCGCTAAAACCGTGCAGTACAGCTACAGGGGAAAGTGTATTCCTACCTGTTCGAGAGAAGGGAAAGGAGGAACCTGGGAATCCCAGTCCTTCTCTCCCGTTCCTCCTTTCCCTCCTCTTGAGGAACGCGAGAGGAGGGCTGGGATTCCCCCGTTCCTCCTTTCCCTCTTCCTGAACTCTCTCCCCTGTAGCTTTGGCTGTACTGCACGGTTGTAGTATTTGTTAGGATGAGTTTCATGGAGTTTCATACATATAATTAACAAATTTAACTGAAGAGTACAGCGAAAGTAGGCATACTAGTTTTGGCCACAATTAGTGCCAAAAGCAAGACATTCTTCACTGAAGTATGGCATTTGCTCGGTGGAACGGCTCTCGAACATGGGTGTAAAGTGCCGTTAAGCAACACCCTAGACACCGCGTTTTTTCCTTTTCTTTTTTTTCACGACCATTGAAACCGAGCGTGTTAGTGAATAGATACAACTACATGATGCTTTCTGCTTTCATGTACAGTAAAACCTCGTTATAACAAAGTTGAAGGAGCGGTCGTAATTATTTCGTTATAACCATTAGTTTGTTATAGCCAATGTCCATTTCTTCCCACTATTAGCAAGCAAGGGGAATTATGATTGCTTTGTTATATCCATTAGTTTGTTATATCCCGTTTTGTTATAACGAGGTTTTACTGTATTCGTACATAGCTGATGGCTGGCGTTTTTGTGGTTTCAGGAACGAAAGCTTCCAATGAATGGGACTCTGGACAACAACAAACATGCGACCCTAGTGAAAACTGCGGGAGACTCCTCGTCTCCAATCAATGAGTTCTTCAAAGACAGATCAGTCTTTCTCACAGGAGGCACTGGATTCCTCGGAAAGGTGCTGCGCAATAACTACACTAGATAAAAAAAAAAAAAAAAAAAAAAAAAAAAAAAGTTGAAATGAAAAAGAGTGTTACACTTTTGAGTTATAATGCAATGATTTGTTATGGTGCTGACTGTATTCACAGATCCTCATCGAAAAACTACTGAGATCCTGCCATGGCTTGAAAAATGTATATATCTTGTTAAGAGCAAAAGATGAATTGGAACCAGCAGAGCGGATGGAAGAGCTTTTGGACTCTCCAGTAAGGGCCTTCTCTCTCGCTACAAATTTTGTGTAGATTCCTTTGTCACAATGCTGCATTTCCTTTGCACTGCTGCTGTCGCAGAACTAATTCCGTCCCGCCATCAACAGGTATTTCAAGGCCTCAAGCGAGACAACCCAACAGTGCTTGGCAAGCTTGTGCCGGTCATTGGAGACATTTTGTTGCCGGGACTTGGCTTGAGCCAGCCAGACCTCCAAACCTTGATCGAGAATGTCACTGTCGTCTACCACTCGGCAGCCTCTGTAAGATTCGATGAACCTTTGCGGTAAGTTTACAGAAATACAGGCAACAATTCTATCTCTAATATTTCATAATTTTCATCTACAGGAAAGCCATAGATGTCAATGTCCTTGGCACCAGGAGGGTTCTGGAGCTGTGCCACAAGCTTAAGAGCATTGCAGTAAGCGTGAATTACTGCTTAAGAAAAATTAACATTTGGGGTGAGGCCAAAGTGTTTACAATATATACAATTATTTTCTCCACCCTTTCAGGCTTTTGTACATGTGTCGACCGCCTACTGTTTCTGCAATAGGGACCATGTCGATGAAATCGTCTACCCCGAGAAGATTCCCTACCAAAGGGTCATCGACGTGTCGGAGTAAGCATCACCAAGGCCGTCGTGGTCCTCGAATATCGGCAATATCCTGGCCAAATGCAGCGTTTTTTGTTTTTTTTTGTATTTGTTATAACAAAAACTTAATCTCCCCTAGCACTGGAGCAACATAAGAGCCAGAAAACGCTTAAAGTGAAAGACTAACTGATAGCCATCCTGTGCAGGTGGCTTGAAGATAAATTGCAAGAGAAGATCCTGGGCCAGGTGATGGGTGGTCGTCCGACAACATATCACTACACCAAGGCCCTGGCAGAAAGCCTCCTGGTTCACGAGGGTGGCAACGTTCCCATAGTCATTCTCAGGCCTTCCATCGTCACCTGCAGTGTGAAGGAGCCCATGTCTGTACGTTTATTTCCCACATGGCCTCAAGTCACACTTGACTGTGGTACAGACCATGACTCACAGGAGCTGATTCCGTGTTGGACTACTTCATGAACATAATTTACAAAGCTGTAGAGTCAGGCTTCAAGCACCAGACTGGCAATTTTACTGGATGGCCAGTGCCTATACAGTCCACTGAAGCCAAATATCTCCTTCTCAATCGCAGGGTTGGGTGGACAACTTCAATGGCCCGGCTGGGTTTGTCATTGCGGTAAGTCAACTCGCTGATTTGCAACAGATCCAGTTCTAGATTGAATCCTTTCCTGATCCTCATATTAAGGATGCTTGAATGCACATGTTCTTGCAGACTGGTAAAGGTGTTCTGCGCAGCATGGTGATCCGGCCAAACAGTTCTGCCGACATCTACCCTGTGGACATGGTTGCCAACATGATGATCACTTCGTCGTGGCACATCTGGAAACAGCCACCCATGAATGCCCCCTTTGTCATCAACTGCACTTCTGGCTCATTTCGTCGGCTCACATGGCTGCAGATCTTCCAGTACTCCAAGCCTCTAGTGCTCAAGTACCCCAGCAGTGAGATATTTCGCTACCCTGGAGGAAGCTACAAGACGTCTCACTTCTGGCACTCCATTGCCTGCCAGCTTGATCACAACTTGCCAGCATTCATCGTCGACACGCTAGCACGGATCTGTGGGCAGAAGCCATTGTAAATCCCAATTTCTTTGATTCTTTACATTACCCGCTATTTTGCTACAGCTGGCTCCTTGTCAACAGCCTAGGTGACGTGTACAAGAGGATCCACCGTGCAATGGGAATGCTCGAGTTCTTCGTCACTCACGAGTGGACCTTTGCCGTGGACAACCTTCGTCTGCTCATGACAAAATTGGAGGGCAGCGACCGTCAGGTATGGCAGACCAAGGGCAGTACCAATACAATATCTGGCACTGTGAAAGTGAGCCACATCCATGGTACGAGCAAGTTACTTATTGTTCAGGAGCTCTGCCAGGATGCACTGAAATAGGATGGCCATGGGGACGAGTTGGTTGTTGTTTAAGTAACACAGTGTGCAAATCAACCGAGACTCAAGAGAAGGAGACAGGACGAGCACTGAACTGACAACTAAATATTTATTGAAAGAAACCGAAGAAAGTAAACAACTAAATCGCCACTATATCAACGTGTGTCCAAGTAGGCAATCTCTTTTCTGTGCAAGTAAACCAGAGTATGGCTTATGCAGTTGTTTCCATCCCTCTGCTTACTTATTTCCTATGCTTCTAATAACTGACTGTCTTATCTATTCCTCTCCCAATGATTGAGAAGTAGGTAAGACAGCCAGGGAATCACCGGAAGCATATAAAATAAATAAGCAAAGGGAAAACAACTGCACAAGCCAAACTTCTGTTTACTTCCACAAAAATAGAGGTAAACTACTAGACACATATTGATACGATGGCAATTTGGTTGTTTACTTTGTTTCTTACAACATTCGGTTGTCGGCTCAGCACTCGTCCTATTTAGTTCTGCTCTCCCGTTTTAGTTGTTGTGCACACCGTTTCATACGTACTGCTGATGTACGGAAAGTCTGACACGGGTAAGATGTGGAACTTTGAGCCTGTCCTTGCAGACCTTTGACTTTGACATCCGTACCATTGACTGGGTGCCCTACCTGGAGAACTACATCCTTGGAGTGCGCAAGTATGTGCTCAAGGAGGACCCTTCGACCATCCCTGCTGCTCGCAAGAAGCTCCACAGGTGGGTGTCTCCCCCCGGTTGCATGCTCCCCGTGACCCTCTCTGCCTTTCCACAACAGCTGCAATGGGGCAAAAGCACAGACAAAAGCAAAGAAAAAAGCAGAGACAAAAGCAACTTCCTGGACAGCCATGTGTAACAGCGCTTCTGAGCCTGCCCAAAGGTGAGCTTGCTGGAAACATGCTGGCCTCCAGAGAAGGCTGCTCCTGCCACTGTTGCTCGCGAACTAACCATTCCGCTACATTCGGGCTTCTCTAATGCTTCCATCTTGTAAAGCCCAGGTTGCTGCATATTTTCATGGACACACGCAAGGCCCTACCCACTAATATGATGCGGCACTACCCAGGAGACGGTGTTGGAATCGGAATTTTAAACATATCTTCATGGAACCACTTTGGATGCATGTTCATGTCCATCACCATTTTCCTCTCTGATAATGTTACATGCAATCAATGTAGTAATGGCCCATCAATCCCAACACCTCTGTGGTCCCTGCGTAACTTTTTCAACTTATTTGGTTAAAAAAACGTGAGCTAAAAGCACTAAAAAGAAATTGCAAAAAAATTCATACATCCACATGTTTTGCTAAGGGGCGCCTAACAGCTATCGCTGAAAAAATGTAATCCTCAAATAAAGCTGCGTAATTAAACATAAGTTCTTTAAAGTTTTTGCATAGAGGATATGGCTGATCACTTGACCTAACAAAAAAAAAACATTTTGAGGTCAGTACTTAAGCATGCCTTGCATGTTTGGGCTTGTCTCGTGGCCCGTGCATAATGTGGGAAAGTGCAGCTTTCTCTGGCGAAAGCAACATGGAACAACTCGCTCGATGCTCATCCCATGGGGCCGGTATGACGAGAGTTACTACGAATAATTTTAAAGGCATTGCATCGTAATCTTCCCGATGAAGACCTGCTAATAAAGCCTCTTTTTTTGTTTTCTATTGATAGGACCTAATGAGCTTTGCGAAGGGCGTGATAGCAGCCTCCAGCACTGGGTGCCCCCCGATAGAGCAGGCAGGACGCCCCTCGAGCGGGTTGTTCCCTGTTACCCGACGTGGCTGCCGTAATATCCCGGGTCATCGTCCACCCCTCTTTTTGGGCAAATATCGATATCCAGAAAAACGTCGAGTTGTCGGCCACCCCTACAAAGACCCCAACGCGGACTCTGCAATTCACGAACATTTATCCTACCCAAATGACGTGGCCGCAGACTTTACGGATGGAGGACGTCCGTGACAAAGTAAAACGAAGGGGGGAAAAGACACTTCACTTGTGCATTTCCTCCCCAATTTCTGCGACCCTGAAGTCCGAGTACACTGAAACCCATTTAAAACAAACTCATGTACAGCGAATCATTGTCGATATCAAACTCGCGGAAAATTGAAATAAAAATGCACGTAAAAAGTACTTTTTATAACAAACAACATATTGGCTATACCAAACTTTTTCCCCCCCAGGAAGGCTTCCAAAAACGTGCAAACAATCGTCTTCTAGCCTGTCCCTTCCCCCCAAAACGAAGTAGGAAAGAACAAAAATTCCAAAAGCTCAAGTTGCTAACAAATTTGAGCGAAGAGAAGCGGTTCAGAAAGCAAGATGTAAGCTAAAAAAACAAACTCTGCACGCACGCAGCAAAAAAAAAAAAAAAGAAAAGAAAAAAGAAAAGCTTTTTTAGCGCTTTGTTACAAGGTGGAAGCGAAGAGATAAAAGAAAGAAAGAGAAGCTCTCGCCTTATAGCAAAGTCATCGTGGAAGTTTGTTGCAAGTGGTTTTTGCTACATCGAATTACTTTACTCGCTACATCGAACTGACCGTAGCGTTTCCTGCTGTTCGTTATAAACGGGTTTGACTGTACTTCCGTTTTGCTTACAAAAAAAGTTTGTTTGGACGCACAAAAAGATGTTGGCAATATATAATTGCAGTAACCCATTCAGGGATCGCGAGGTCAGTGAATGCCCAATATCCTAGAATGTAACTGCAAAATGTAAAGTCTGCGTAAAATCCGTGTCCACCGAAATAAGGGCACTGCGAACCTGCTCCTTCTCCCAAAACATCGCCACTGCAGCTGGTAAAGTTGTGCCATGTTTGAGACAAAACCAAAGATTTGTTGGAACGTCCCACACGGGCATTTGTAAAACGTCCCATTTCGAGCCCAGTATTCGTGGTGCCGTCCCAGCCACGCAGCAATGCCGCCTCAACCCGCGTTGATTCTCCGTACATGTACGAACGCACGCATGTATGCTTTACACGCGAAAGTTGAACAAGAGCCTGTTCCCTGCGATCGACAAGGCACCCAACTTTGCCAGACGCCAAATGCCAGCGCGGTTGCCAGCTTTCCCACTTCCCCAGCATCGCTCTTTGTTGCCTTTTTTTTTCTCCTGCTGGCTCGCTTGTTGCGCCTGGTCAATTTTTCTATTTTCATGTTGCTTTTTCTTAACGACAAGAGTCTAGCAGTGTTGGAAACATGCTTTCAGGGAACAAATGTTTACGCTGTGCGCCGATCGGCAGTGTTCCTCGTGCATATGCAAACAACACTTTATTATAGTAAAACATGTCATGAGCATTTCTTGCATAAAACAATGTTTTGAGTCTATCCCTTTTGTAGCTGTGCTAGATATGTACAGAAAAATAGGCGTTTTTTGTTAGCTTTTTTTAAGCTTTTTGCACTTACCCACCGAGCATGGCCCACCCAGTTTTTTTTATGAATTTTGGGTGGCGGGCGATGTCTCAAGATATTACGTTAAATTAGTCAAGATTCCTCGGTGGTTGCGGAAGCCAAGAGCGCCACTATATATAGCGATGGTTACAATAGTTTACAAGGCACATTTCCTTCGTAATAAAGATGATTGAACGATTACAACGAGTGATTAGATTGTCCGTAACGGGTAGCATATGGGTGCGACGACCTTTGGAATGGCTTCCCGTGCAGGATCTACTATGTGGGGCTGCTGAGCCAGCTGCTGCTGCTGGCCGGGGCCATGCGGCTCCTCGTCAAGCACAGCCAGACCTTCAACGACCTCTGGTGGACCCTCCTCTCAAACCTCCTCCAGCTGTCCGTCCGCATCTCCCTGGCGCTGCGGTCGACGCGCACTTCCTAGACCCTAATCACCCGAAAGCTTGCGGTGGAAGCTACCTGCTCGTCGAAACCTATCGCCAGCCTACCTACCCTTCACCGCGTGATCACGGCCACATCCACGGGCGCAGAGAGTGGGGGTAGGGCAATGAAAGGCAGGCGGTTCATGGCGAATGCGTAGCTTCCCTCGCATCGTCGGCTCAAGGGTCCCCTTGCGAGGCTCCAGCCCCCCGTGAAGCCTCACACTACCTCCAGCGTACCTGCTAGGCAACACTAGGCAATATGGCGTCCGCAGCTGTGGAAACCACGGCTGCTGCATCGAGGGGGACTGGCATTTCATCCAGGCAGATGTCCCGGGCACGGAAAAAAATTTCGTCCGCTGCGGAGCGGAATTGTTGGAAACTGTACTTTTGCCAATAAAGAGTGTTACCATCAGAATAACCGGTCTGGAGAGCGTTATGCAAAGAGAACACATGTAGGCAAGCTGCAGTATCGTTAAGTGTAACAAAAATTCGACGTCTGTAATAAAAAAAAAATGAGCAGTCCCGCATTAATCCGCAGTACGGTCGCGGCAAAGTTGTTGAGCATAGGCGTTGCATTCTCGCACCGTGGGGTCTGTAAACGAAAGCGTTTGGCACAAAATAGACACACGTGAGAGCGAGTTTCCCGGCTTGAGCTCTTGTCATCGATAGTTCTACAGAAACATTTTGCTATAGGCTGTTAGGGCAGGTTCTTAAGAAGTTATGACACGCCAAAAATACAATGAGATAAGAGTGCTGCCAGGACCCATTGTATGTTCCTATAATCCTGCTAAATTTGTTTTGAAAATGGTGCGATGGTTTCGTGGATGAATCTTTATATGCGGGTCCCTCGGGGGGGGCAGATCCGGGCGGAGCGGGAGTTTGGCTACATAGCCAGACTCCCACGCGGCATCCCCTTGCACGCACTCGGACCTTGCATCTCAAGCTTCAGCTTCTTCGTTTACCTTCCACGTTTCGAAAGTGTTCGACACTGATCACAGCAGCAACGAGAGTGATTGCTATCGAGAGATGTTGGAAGCTGTTCATTTTGACGGCGACCCGCTGGTGACCAGCTCCAGCAATGGCAAGTTCGTCCGTAACTTGCCGTGGTTACAGTCGTCCGGGAATATCCCGCAGGCACATGCAGGGCGGAAGGTCAACGGGCTGGGGGCGAGAGCGACAATAGCGTTTGGGTTGCCGAGTTGCGCGAGCGGTTTTGATCTTACTGCGGCAAGGAGAGCTTGGGCGATCACGGGGTGCCTAGAATGAGAGAGCGTTTTTGATCATGGGGTTTATAGACACCACGGTGTGACTACCTTGGGCAGTGTTGCCTGGTCGCCAGATGAAAATGATAAAAATTCATCGATCGAATATTGCAATTAGCAGAGCCCTAAAAATTGCATAACTTGGTGTATATACTTAGTAACCTAAGAGCATTCCATTTCAAGAATAATCTATCCGTTTAATTTTCGTGTCAACCCCTTACTCCGCAGGTTTCTTCATTGTCTCCGATTTGCTTGAAATTGTGCTAAACTCTCCAACATACATCGCTAAAATAGTATCGCAAATATTAAGTAAAAATATTGTTTTTTTTTTTTTGTGAAGTTATTGAATTTACATTTTTGGTCCTCGCTGTGTTTTTCAAACTTAAAATCTCTACTGACAACAACGAAAAAGTGACGTCAATGGAAGGCAGGGGTTCACTCTTTGAACCCTAGAACTTGTTCCCAACTGATTTGAAGCAGTTTCATGGTGTGAAATGAATGCTTTGGAAGCTCGCTCCAGTGGGGAACCAATGATTGGCATATTCTATAAACTGCAAGCCTGCCTGCCACTGACGGCACGGCACTGAAAAGTGAGGGTATATTTGAATGTTGGTTTTTGCATCATTCTCATTTGCCGATTTCGCAATAACTACTATTAATCTCGCGATACTAACAGCATACCGGAAAGGGTAAAGGCCGGGGAGTCAGAAAATATAGTTAGTTGAGGTAGCTCAAAAACCTTGCGGAGTACCCCTTTAACAGTGCGGGACTGCTCGGTGGCAGCGCCTCTGCTTCGCACGCAGCGGATCCAGGTTTGCCAACATAAACGACGAACACCCTCCATCAACAACTCGAGATTCTAATGGAATCTTGAGTTGCGCAGGTGTCTTCTCTTGGCATGGCTTCCCTTCTCTCGAATCATTGGGGTGGCTATAAAGTGCATTCTTTATTGCAGCTGCTTTCCGAGATACTTGCGAGGCTATCCGCTGACTAGGCTTAAGTTTTGCCTGGTGTCGGACGCGGAGCCACACGTCCGCCTTTGAGGGGAGGAGACGTCCAATCAGAGAGGCCGGCTCCTGTGGTCTCCGGCGTTGAGTCGGGGCCTGGGCAGGTCGCCAAACATCTCGGTGCCGTCGCAGACGCTCCTGGCCAGGGCCTCGATGTCTTCCCCAATCTTCTCGTGGTCCACGGCCCCAACCAACTGCAACGTCGCACTGTTTAGCACAGCACCCCGAGCAGTGGGATAGTCTGCACCATCCACGCCCGAAACAACCGCTCAAAATAACCGACAGCTGCACTGCGGGTGTAATGGTGCTATCACATACCTGAGGATGGAGTAGCAATGCGGTTAATTCTCATAATCACTGCGGATGCCACAGACGACCGCCACCAGATCTTGATGATCCGTGAAGTGGGTAAGCGCTGTGCAAGTTTCTAAAACCATCCATTAGGCGTAGCAACTGGATACTGCCAAAGTGGAATTTCGCATAACGCGAGCAATGTTTGAAAACAAGTCTATCAAGCAGACGACACGGGAGACTCCTTTCGTCGCGTCGTTACTGGCGGGATGCCGGGCGGCCGACTAAAAATCTCAACTTCCCTGGCCTCGTGCCAAGAGCGGAGAGAAGGGTTTTTCCCGTAGAGGCGGCGACAGGAGACGAGGTCCAAAATCTCTGCAAAGTGCTGCCCGCAAAGCTATCGCCTAAAGAAAAAAGGATGTTATTGGGAGAAGACTGCCAACGTGGCCACTTTCCAAAACACTCCTCTTTTCTTGTAAGAAGTCAGTATGGTAGTGTCATTGTGTTCCCCACCTGCAACTCATCCTCCCACCTGCACCTTCCTCTTGGACATCACTTGAGGATAAGGCGTGAAAAAAAGGAAGTCTGTCATTCTTTCTTTTTTTTCGTTTCTCCCGCAAAAAGAAAGAAGAGGGGTCGTTTGCCTTTCAACACCTGCGTGGTACTGCATAGAGGACACTTCCTCCGTTCCCTCTTTTACGGCGACTGGTCAGTCTATTGTTGGGGCATACATGGGGGCCTCTAGCTATGGTGCTTGGAAGGCATCTTCGACCGGTGCGTTCATATCCCAGTGGCAACGGACTATGCGACGAGAGCCGGTGTGTCGTGCAATGTCTCGATCCAGGCAGAAAAGTTCAACAAATGCGAGGATTGCCATCTGGCTGGTCGTCAAGTGGAGGGAGCACTTCTGGGGAGGCCGCAAACGCACCAGTCGAAGACTCCCGTACCCAGAGCGGCTTCCCACCTCGTCCAGGTCGTTCTGGGAGTCTCTGGGCGTCCTCCAGGTCGGCATGTCCACGGGCAGGGAGTAGGCACACTGCGTCTGTCCCGCTGGTTGGTACTCGTCGGCCATGCTGCTATCTGAAAGCGCCAGAAAACCTCCCTTTGAGCTCCCCCATGCACGCTCGTAATACATCGTCAAAATCAAAACGCTGTTCGTCGCCGTTCATGTTCTCCGAGAGATGGACGGGCAGATGTCGACGAGCTTATCATTACTGTCATAAAAGACTTTGCGCTGCCGCCCGGAGAATTGCGACATTTCTTTTTCAGCCGCACCGCCAATCGTAACTACGTCTGCCCTCTGCTCGAGCAAGTGTACCTTCTGCTCGAGGCGGTGCCTCGACTGCTCGTTCCTCGTACCCTCCCGCACCACCGCCTCGCTGCCCCGACGTTTTCGCTAAGGGTAAGAAACGCGGAGAATCTTTGGCGACACTGCGTGGATTCCGCTTCCCTGGGACGAGCCAATGCCAGGAGGTTTGGCAGCTGCCATTGTTGCGTGGTATGGTTGCTCCCGCGCTTCACATTTTAGTGCTGCGAGCCGAGCTATTGGTGGCTCTTAAAGGTTCACTACTCTCAATCCCTATTCGCGATGTCTAAGCTGTCGATGGGAAAAGATCTGGGCACTTTTGTCTGCTTTTTTTTTCTAGAATAAAAGTCCAAACACTACCGCTTGCGATGCCTCACAGGTCGGCCACCGGCTCGTCCCACACGCAGGTAGATATCGATAGCAATGCCTAGCCCAAACAGGGAGCCGCAAAAAAAAAAAGGTGGACGTAACATGGGCAATGAGGTTGGCAGCATCAGTTTGTTGGCAGCCGATGTTTCAAAGAGTGACATAGTCCTAGGAAAAGTGCTTACCAAGGCACCCAAAAACGTTTAAAACGCGGAAGTTGAAGCAAAAAGGCAAGCCCACGCTCGGTGTTATATGGCCGAGCAAAATCCTTGTAACGTAACGGTTTAGGATAATCTGTACAAAGCTCCCAATGAGAAGGGAAGCGATCCTGTTCGCCATGGAACTGGGCGGTGCTGGGGACGTTAGATTTTCAGGCAAATGCTCGCACGTAAAAACACTGGCTTTCGGATGCTCGAGGTAAATAAACGGAGAATGGAAGCCCCACCATCCGTGTCCAATTCCTCTTCGGAAGATGCGGGAGGAAATGGGGCAGAGTTGTCGTCGTCTTCGAAGCCATCCAAGTGAAAGATTTCTAGGTTGGGGGGAGAAAAAAGGACAGAGTTTGGCACGGACAGCTCGTGTGACAAAGTCCGGTTTAAAACAAAACTCGGAAATACCCAGAGGTGCATGGTAGAAAGCGAGTACCGTAGAATACCGCGCATCTGCCTATTCCACACTAAGCACCCATTCCCAAATTTGTAAGGCCCGCTTCAGACAGGGCAACTTTTCCAGCAATTTTGAGGTTGCTGGCGGGCTGTTCCCTAGCTTTCCCTAGATCGACGCAAATTGCTGAGATCGCGTCCGGCTCGAACAAGTGAGAAACTCGGAGCAATTCGAAGACGGTTGAAGTGGCTGCAGCCAATCAGAGATGCAATATTTTCTTGTGACACCCCTGTGGTGGTGATGATGACAGCTAAAGACTTAGTTCTGGTTTGGAATGGATCGTTTTCGGAAATAAACAGTTTCAGAAAAATGAGCTAGTATTCTCAACGCCGTCCAAAGAGAAAAAAACGCGTTTTTAGCGCGTAGCTGGGCGTCTAAATAGTGAAAGAAGAATCAAATTTAATGATGATGATGGCAAGTTGGAGCAATTCGGTTGCTGTGTGTGAACGCGGGCGGCCGGTGTTGCTGGTGTTGCGACGTCAAGTTGCTGGGTGAAATTGCTCCGTCTGAAGCGGGCCTAAGTTCTGAGGAAATACACAGAGCACATTTATATGTAAAATTAATGACCGGAGAATAAATTTTGAGTGGGCACTTGCCCGTTATGTTGCGTTAGTAGGTAATAAAAATGCGGAACGAATTGCTGGGCATTTGTGTTGCACGTGAAACGTGTGGTTTCAGTCAGGTTCCTTTGGGATTGACGTCCATGTGCTCTTCGTCGGTTACTAGTTCAGCGACTGGCTGAACTCGTGGCATCTACACTCTATAGCAATTCCCGAAATAGAGAAACCAGCGCTAACCCCGATTTGGAACTCCTGGCACTCTTCGCTCCATAGTGGCAGATGTCTCTCCGACGACATCCAACCACCGTCGGGGGGTCTAGCGGTGGCACGTGAGTGATTGCGCAATTACCAGCCAATCGCGCGACATAATACCTGAACCAGCCAATTGGCGTTGAGCTAGGGAATGTGACGTCATCACCCGGCTCAGCTAATCTGCATCGAGTTAATCGGCGGGTTCACTTTTCGGCTTCACAAATTTCTTTTGGATCTCCCGTAATAAGGCAAAGCACGTGCGCCACAGATGTTAGCTAGGAGGAGACAGAGCGAATGGGCGCTACCTTATGTAGGTCTTGCGCAACGTCAATGAGGCGAGCGATCACGTGGCACCGCTCTCGCTGGCACATTTTGCCAGGAGCCCCATCCATCCAGAGCGGCCGTGCTACGCGGCTCAGAGGCTATTCGCAACTTCAATGCCCTATAGATGGCGGGGCAATACTTCCAAGATGGCGGAAGAGACGGGGATAGATTCTCCGGGATTTTCCTCGAGCCTGCTCGCCGATGCTGGTCACTGCGCTAAAAATACTTGATATGTGGGCAAATGAGAAGTGGTCAGGGCAGGAGCATATTACGGGTGACGGAGATGTTGATGCGCGTAAGGAAATTGAGCACGTTGATATTTAGAAGTTGCGGAAACCTCAACTTGTGAAGCAATGTAGAGGGCAAGCGCGTCCTGGATGCTGGCCATGTCACTGTTCCTGGCCAAATATCTTTGAGGGTGATGAAGATATTGCGGTGTTTCCGCTTCGCCTGGCAATCAGTGCTCTAAAACTTGAGCCATGCACAAAGACCGTGAAGCTCTGGAAGAGCAATGTTCGCAGTATTGATGTCTTTGTGTCATAGGCTCACAACTCGCTGCTCACCGTCGTGATTTTAGTGTATTGACACGTGATTGAACTGCACTAGGGTTATTAATAGTAAGTTTTAGGACAGCGTGACTGCAGGCCACCGTACGGTACAGCATTACAACCGGAAGTCTTAGAAACAATTTTCGGCGCACCCCAGGAGCCTCGCTCACGGTAGCCTGCGGTAACGCAATGCTAAGCCCATTCACGTCATTGGCGTGGGGTTTCATTTATTCCTCTACCAAAAAGAAGTGCCTACTTTAATATACCAGTACATTTGTGTACCATGGTATTTGAAACGTTGCAACCCGCCCCGCCAAAACTGCCCGTTCTAAGCGTTCATCACGAACGGCTAACACAGACGCGCTTAAAATGCTTTGAGCATCTTTTTGTTTGCCTTTGTAATTACAGGAAAGGAAGTATACGTATTCTGTCTTTTATGAAAGTGCTTTGAGCAAATGGTACAGTTTCTTGTAGCGGCCCTAAACGCGAACCCATTCCCGATGTGTATTGCTAACGTGCCATTGAGCGACCTGTGTTCTCCTACTTCGGGCAAAGAATACACTTTTCGTAGACTGTACATTAGAGCTCTACACTACAACGTATAGGGAGCGTCTGCCGTCACGTTAAGCGCAAATTGTGAGCTGGCAACCACGAGACCAAAAATCTGCAGCATACGCGAAATACGGTAAGTCCCTAATGAAATTAGACATCCCCTTTGTGGAATGCCGTTGCGAGGTGGAACACAAACATTTCTATTTTACCGCGCTCACTTTTTTTTTTAAAACTGCTTCGCGCACGAACACGCTGGCCAGAGGCACGCTGTAAGTGAAAGTGTTGTGAGCGATAGCTTAGGAAATGCAGCCGATGCGACTGCTGGATTGGCCCAAACATAATAAATCCGAGTTTTTCAGACCGACCATGTTCACGACACAGACTTGAAAACCGACCTTCCTCTTCGGTTTGAACGAGACCAACTGAGGGGCACACAATCAAACTACAGCGACCCACGATAAAATGAGGCGGGAAAGAAAACCACGGACGAGGGCAAGGGAGGCCCGCAAAGGCGTCGCAACTGGGGCAAAAGAAAAAAGAGACGTCCGGCGGTGCGAGTCCGAGGGTGTCACTCACGGCCGGTGTCCACGCTCTGGCTGAGGAGCAGTTGCGGACCCGGCCTGGCCGGACGTCGGACGCCTTGCCTCCGTGCTGTGCCCTGGAGAGACACGTGCATTTGTCAGGCCGACGGTAGACTACGGTATAAGAGACCGACGCTGGACAACGACCAAATGATCTCGAGTGATTGTTTGGGGCCACGTGCCACGGGCCAACCAAGAGCGTGCAATGCTCTCACCTTCTGGAAGGTAATTCCGGCGTCCCGGTTATTGTCTGTCGTCTTGGGGAGGCCGCCTCTGTTCTGGGTCGTGGCGACGGCTGTCAGAGAAACACACTTCCCTAGTACGTCTGCACCGGCATTTCAACTTCATTTTCCCTTACAAACTAGAGGTTCATTCAAAACGAGTGTTTACTAAGAGCTGTTTCTTGACAACAAATTAACTTTGTTAAAGGGGTGCTTTGCACTTTGAAGGCGGGAGCTAAGATATCGCCAAGTCAATACATACATTAACTGAGCATTCCTATGTCCCCAGACTGGGGATGTGCTAGCAACGAGGAGTCTCGCAAGGTTTGCGCACGTCCACCCAAACTGGACGAAGAGTCTATTTGCGGAGGGCGTTAGCAGATGCCGTAGAACAAAGCATTCCGGGGAGGTTTAATAAGTCTAGCACACGCCGAATGATGAGCCCATGCACGTGGGCAACAAGACAGAATGTGCGCATTGAGCAGCTCACCGTTGCTTCGCACAGTCGGGATCCTCTGAGTGACCTCTTCGTCCAGCGCCTCGGCCAGAGTATTCTTCAACTCGCGTCTGCTCGCCTGCGTGAGGAGCTCGCAGAGCGCATCGCGGTCCACGGCCGTGCGAGCCTTGAGTTGCTCCAGAGTGCGGGACTGCTGCTCTTGGAAGTGCCTGGTGAAGAACCGGAGAGGGACGCATTGGCAACCCCCCTTGAGGGACGGGCTTTTTTAAGTTTTTAGGCTAGATGACGCAACTATTGCCCGTTACGAAGGTAACAGCCATTAAAGGGATACTGAACCGAAGCTTAGATCTTGCAAAATAAGGTTGCAGAAGCATTGAACGTGACGCTACGAACTCCAAGACATCACTCATACGTCGACATCTCAAACGGATGGCCGCACTTTTAGAAAAGAAGGGCGCGACCAAGCGAGGTCTTTGACGTCATTGTCCTCCGGGAGCATTTGAGAATGAGGGGAAGCAGCCTTGCTTCTCTCTCCCTCGCTCAGTTTCACCAGCTTAACGGGTCGTAGCGAGGAGGAAGGGGAATGGGAATCATGACGTGACTTGTCTCATTGGCCGTGTTGAATCGCGCACTTCTTTTCCAGAAATACGGTGACCCGTTAAGAGATATCGCTAAATGAGTGATGTTTAGGGGTTTTGCAGCGTCCCGCTTATCCGTCCAGCTATGTTTTTTGAACTCGAAATTTTGGTTCAGTATCCCTTTAATGTCCATCCAGCATCCGGTAATCCTCTCCGATTCTGCTTGATTTCGAAAATATGTTCAGTGATTTTGGTTGCTTTTTTAAACGTAGTCCGAAGAGTTCCTGGAGGAGGGGAGTACTTCAGTCACTCAATCCTCAGATTTGTCAATACTTAGGGACATACACCTGTAGCTTCAGGCATTCATTCTGCAAAGTGCAGAGAACAACGCACAAAACTGATGATTTTCTTTTTCATAACAGAAGTGGTACATGATTACCTCCCAATCATGTAGCCTAGGTTGTAACAAATGCCAGTGAAAGCTGCTTTCAGTAATCTTGGTCCTCAAGTGCATTTTGGATAAAATGGTCCATTTGAAAATGTGCTTTTAAGTGAAACCTCGCAGAAAAAAACAGTTTGTGCAGGCAGCCAGTACAACTGCGAGCATCGTGCTTTGCTCTCAAGGAAAAAAAGAACCAAGCGCAGCCGACCAGTTGATGTTCTCCGTCTTGAAGGACTTTGATTTCTTTTATCTGTTGCGAGTGTGGCTTGGCCACTGCAGGGAGGATTTTGGAGTCTCGACTAGCAGCAAATGCTTCCGGGGCGGGCCTAGGATCGCCTCACCGCTTTTGGGCCACCAGAAATACCCACCGAAAAACTCGCCCGAGACCCAAGGCAATGGGGAGCGTTGCGCGTAGACGGACGCGCCAGTTCGTAGACTACGTCAATGGTCGGCACCCACGTGGACGAGTAGGCGGTTTCCGGTGACTCCGTCGGAGAATCTCTCGTAGGTTCGGACTGCTCGTCGCCTCTAGTGGACGGCCGGCCGGTTTTACGGCTGTGCGCAGGGCTGATGGCATGGGGACCGAAACGACCGTAGCAGAGACCCAGGTCTCATCCGAGCCGGCGCGAGGTGAAGTACCCATAAGCATAAAGCATGTGTTAGCAGAATCAGCCTCAGCTCATTCTCACATTTGCGTTAAGAAGGCCAAGAATTAGGGCTGCACAACTACTATAAACGGTAAATATGTAAGGATCAAATATGAATAGTTAGCTTTGCATTTAATTGCATTCTAATCATAACCTTAAAATACAAGCCTTCACCCTCATTGGTGTGAGACTGGTAGCAGCTGATAAAACCTGTTTGCTTTACCGACGTCTAACCCTTGGTTAGCTCAGTTGGTAGAGCGCTCCATTGGAAATGGAGAGGGCCCAGGTTCGATACCCGGACCAGGCAGATTTTTTCGGTTGCATACCAGTCACCTAGCCATGTTTGGAGATTTGTGTCTGTCCTTTGTCCCCCTTGTTCCCCTTCTCCAGGAATTATGTATTTTTGGCAATTTCAATTATTTTCTTGAAAAAAGGTCACTACCAGTTGTTTGTGTGACAACATTAGAGGTTGCATTTTTACATGCCATCTAGACATGTGCAGTTTTGAAGACTCCTAATTTTGTCAATTTGTATAATTTATCAGTTGCACCTTTTGCCTGCTTTCATGAACAGTTGACAGGTGACTACTAGTCAAGGTATAGTAGCTGTGTTACCAAATGCATTGTTTACACCAGGAATGCACAACATGCCACCCAAAGGCCGCATCCGGCTCGCGGGCACTTCCCGTGCAGCCTGCGAGACGGCAGCCAGTGCGATGATGCCAGATATTGAAAACCTGTCTGCCAGTTATTAAAAACCCGTATAGTTCCCAATAAACATTTGTTTGGCCCATTTTTGAGTTGTGCAGCCTTGGTTTACATGCTGCCTACCGTAAATTTCTGAGAGAACGCCTGCACCGAAGAGACCGTCCATCCTGCCTTTCCGGCTAAATATCTGTAACATGAAAATTTGGAAACATCGCCCACCCCTTGATACCTCTCGGACGTCACGCAATCTCTGACGGGAATCGCATCCGCCGTGCGATATGCTGTACCGGTACGTCTGAGAAGCGAGTTCATAGCGGGTTCCCGCGCTTTTATCTTCGATCTGCGAGCGCGATATCGGCTCCTGTAAAGCGCGAGTTGTTCCTGCGCGTATGTTGCATTCCGAAATGCGAATCCGCAGTATCCGTTCCTGTGACATGAGAGTTTGTACCGTATTCCCACGTTTTTGTCTGCAACCTGCGTGCGCGACATCGATTCCCGTAACACGCGAGTTGGTCCCGAGCGTATATTGCATCGTGAAATACAATTCTGCCGCATCTGCGATCTGCGGTACTCGTTCCTGTAAGACGCGAGTTCTTGGCAGGTTTCCGCGGGTCCTTCGCACGGTAAAACGCGAATCTGCTGTGTTGGCAACCTGCAACATCCTTTACTATGACACAGGAGTTAGTAGCGAAATCCCGCGTGTTTATCGCATCATGACACGCAAATTTCCGGTGTCTGCAATAAGAGTATCAGTTCCCGCATCACATGGTTTGTAACGGGTACCCCGGTGTTTATCATTAATTTTTAATAAAGTTTTGCTGTGGCATCCCCAAAGATAGCCCACCCCATGTTTTTCACCATTTATCTCTTTAGTTTAGGTGGCCATTCTTTCGGAAATTTATGGTAGTCGGGTAGTTTGAGTTACTTGAATTTGTTATAATTTTTGGCTTGGAAGGTAATATAGAAAGTATACTTGCATTTTTTTTGTTGTTATTTCTTAACGGTACGCAGATATTTGAAACATATTCAATATTCAAGTCTGTTTCTTTCTAAAATTCATATTCAATTTAGAAAATTTCAATATTCGCACACCCCTAATTTAGAGTAAAAGAAAATTAATCCAGCCCATAGTTTGACAATCTCTTTAAGGACTTCACTCTTCGTCCCTGGTTATTTTCGATCCTTCTATTTCATTTTGTGTAGAAGTTGAAGGTCCCCCTCCTTCTTCAGTCCCAAGACCTTTGGCGTGGTGAAAGACTCCTCTACCCATCCCAGGTTAGGGCTGCCCGTAGCTATCTTTCGATACCAGCAATGCAGACGAGGAGCAAAAAGCTCTTTTCAACTGTTGGAGCTGTTGTAGCAGAAAGGAGCAGCTTCTCACAAAACACGTCGAGCAGCTTGTCTTCTTGCACCAAAATTCGTAAACCCCAAAGGCTCGTAGAAATAAACAGTCGAGCGAGTGCCTTCACGGCTGCCCTTTATACGTAGATAACAACTATTCCAAGTATTCACTTCGAAATTATTCGACACCATTCGCTTCGAACTAAACAAACACTATTCGCATGAGTCTACTAAGAATCGCAACACTTCAAGATGGCCGCCGCAACAGCTTACGGTGCTCCCAGGGCTCTAAGTGCCCGCAGTGTGGTGTCCTTTCTTTGGCAAAACGAATGCCTCAGGGAGCTCGAGGGCCGAGCGCTCCACTACGGCCGACGGGCCGAAAAGGGCGGGCAGCCTCCTTGACGGCCTCCCACACGTGCTCGTTGCGCGTGCACGCCGGAGGATCGCAAGACGACCCCAGGGCCTCCGTTCTCACCCAGACGAGGACGGAAGGGGACCCACCTGATACGAGCTTCCATGGCCTCCATCTCTTGACGCACGAACCTGTTTGCAATCTCCTGAACCACCTTCAGGTTGGCATCCAGCTTCGAATCTTCCACCTGCAGCCTGGCACCCGAGACACCTGCGGCGTGCAACGTCCAAGAAGACGTCGGCTCTACGTTTCGCACGAGCGTAACTGGGCAAATGGCAAAAACTACGGCCCCGGCGAGATGGCTGGAGCGATTGAGCTGCCACGTGCTTTGGCCCGTCCGTCTGCTCGCGGAAGCCGTAGCATTTGCTCCCTGCCTTTGGCGCACTCCAAGTACAGTATGGCATAAACGAGCGAGCTGGCAATGAGATATTTTGGAGCTCCAAGTTAATACTATAAAGCTCCCTTTCGTATGACTGCTCCGCAACACATTCAAGATTTGCGTTACATTTAGCGCAAACAACATCTCAAAGAAGCCGACCTCCAGTAGAGCTTCTGATTCCGTGGTCAGCTCGTCTTCAAATGCAGCAGCGCCAAGGTTCAATTGCCAAGCTCTCCAGTTAGCCCCATTCATCGTCGACGAGACCGAGAACGGCACGAGCTTGGGCATGATTTGGATGCTAGTTCGGCCAAGGCAACTACTCGAGTCTTTTGGAATATGCAAGTCACAGCAAGCTACAAGGCACGGAGGCCGGGAGGACGGACGGTGATGCAGAGACAGCGCTCCAAGCATGACTTGCCTCTGCTGTTGTCGTCGTCGTCTCCAGGCTGCGGCAGCACAATCTTGAAGCAGGGCGAGTAGCGCTCCAGAGCTCGCAGTGTGTCCATCCTTTCCTGGCCGCTCTGTTTGGTGCCCAACAAACCCAAGAAGGCACGCTGAAGATCGGCAAGAACTTGCCAACAGGTCAACAGGCAGTGAGCGAAATGGGCAACTGGCTTTCTTGACTAACGCAACGGAGGTGGCTCAGTTAAATGGACGTGTTCGGCGTCAACAACCCCTGCGCTGTGGTGGAGCAGACGCTGCACTCGGGCATACTGACCGAGGTTAATAAAACCAATATTATGGCGAGCGAGGAAGATTTCCCGTAACGTGTAAAAGAAAAGTATCTCAGAGAGGAAAGAGCGAGAAAGTTGACAAGCGGTCGAAGGTTTTCAGGCAGCATCTGCACATGCCAATTTATGTAAAGGCAAAATATCGAGCTAGGATGCATTCCAAAATTAAAAGCCTTACTAGATCCAAAGTGGATGCAAGTTGATTTTTACTCTTAAAAGAAGCGAATGAAAAAAAGCAGCAAAAGTGCTTGGCAACGCACTAGTGGCCTCGCGCGCGACGAGAACTCGTCGGTTCTTGGCGGAAACCTTCGACGGCCTCTCAGCCCAGCTCACCTCGAGACCCGCATGGAGCAGCATTCTCCCGGAGGCCTCAGCGTAGACGTCCTGCCGGCAACCCCGGCAGGAGTGGACCGACCACTGGCCGACGTGGCGCACGGTGCTCAGGAACGGGTGCTTCTGCACAGAGTGGCACCCTCCCGTTCGCCCATCGCTCGGAGCATCAAACCCCCGTCGGCCTCGCCGTTTCTGGCACCGCCCGAACAGAGAGCAACGAGTAAAGGCCGGATCGGAGCTTGACTCCGCTCAAGCGCAGTCCCTCGTAACACGCCGCAACATGGCCACCATTCTGGCGCAGTGCTGGAACACTTCTAACCTGTGTATATGTACGGCCGAATGGAAAATGGGAAACAAACGTAAAACCAAACGATTCATGAGGTGAACTTGTGCCTACAAACTCAAGGCGTCGAGCGGAGGCACGTGGTTTAGAGGAGCTCGTTTTAATGAATGCCGTCTTGCCGATCCGAGTTTATAGAATCCCTTTATAGAGAAACCCAGTTTAGAGAAATTGGCACTGAGCCTGTTTTTTGCGAATTCAGCCGCCGCAATGCGGCGTGTATGGATGGGTCAGGTGAGTTAACACTTTTGTGATGAACTGGGAACGCAGCGGGGGATGGGTTAACACGCACCCCAGTTAAACATACCATCAACGGGTCTGATGTGGCACGAGTCCGAACATACACCTATCTGGGGTTCCTGTTAGACGACCGCGTCTCCTGGCGCCCCGCGGTGAAGACAACCATCATAAGGTGTCGCCGGCATCTCAATGCCATGAGAATGATTATGGGCAGTCGGTGGGGAACACCCCAGGCCATGATGATGATGCAGCTCTATAGAGGGCTCATCCTCTCACGTCTACAATACGCCTTGCCGCTGGCCCGCACCAACAGCACCCAATCCTCGGCTATAGAGACTCTTCAACGAGTCGCAATTCGTTTGTGCTTGGGCTTACCAAGATACTCCCCAAATACCCCAACGTTAGTGGAAGCCAGGGTCAATCTCGTTGAAAATCACGGCAGGGAGCTGACACTTTGGCACATAGCGAGACAGTCATCTTGTCAATCAACAGGTCCACTCCTAAAGCGTTTTCATCAGCGCCCACTCTCGCACCTCGGACAACTGGCAGCACAATTCAGAGCACTCGTTGGTGACCCAGACATCATCTACATGACACCACCACCATACGCTCCACCACTAAACATCAATGAGTCTGTTCCCGCTCTCAAAAGTAAACGGAACACAGCCCAACCTGTAGTCCGGAGCCTTGTTGAAGACCACATGGAAACGACCTTCGCTGGTTGGCTGCGGGTATATACCGATGGCTCTGTGCTTCATAGCCGTAAGTCGTCTACTGCTGCCATGTGTATCCCAGAGCTCAACATGACCGAGTCCAGGAAGCTAAGTTTTTATACTACGTCGACAACTGCCGAACTTGTGGCACTTTGGCTTGCCCTTGACTCACTTAGCAACCTCCCTCAATGTGGCAAAGCGTTAATCCTCACAGACTCTAGGATGGCGCTGCAACAGCTAGATCGTCTTGAAGACGCACCGCAATACGCTTGATTCGTCGCGCACGTAGCGAGAAGCCTACGAGCAAAGGGCTGGCAATTAACCTTTCAGTGGTTGCCTTCGCACACTGGCATCTCGGGCAACGAGGCCGCTGACCAACTCGCTGCAGCGGCTCATCACCTTGATGTCCCAGTGGTAACAATAGCTAAAATACACGAAGCCAAACTACTTATACATCAAGATATAATCCTTAATCACCCGGACCCACGGGTTTCTGGCGGAAAACCTCCTGTACGTGTCCCACCGAAGCTACAACGAGCCAGCGCCTCCTTGCTGCACAGGCTACGCACCGGATGTGCCTTCACGGCGAAAGCCCTCCACCGCATAAACTCTGCCGTCGACCCCCTCTGCCCAACCTGCAATGTTCCTGAGGACTTCGACCACCTCCTCTGGGACTGCACGGCGTTAACGAAAGAGAGAAGATCCCTCATCGACGGCCTGCAGTGCGCCGGCGTCGCACATGCCACTACAGAGGAAATTCTTTTTCCCCCGGGTCCGGCCGGGACCGCTTCTAAAACATTTGCACGTCTCCTCACATTTTTAGAAGACACAGAATTATTCGATCGCCTATAAACCACAAGTACCCGACCTTAACTGCAGAGTGCCAACAAGTGACAGTCATCCACCCCTTCCCTTGTTTTATCTCTCTCTCTCTCTCTTCCTTTTCTTTTAATCTGTCTCTCCTCTAACCCATTCCTCATCCCTGAACTGACTCGCCCCCATTTTTAGGAGTGGCCAACTGTTCAGGTTTTCCTTTCCAATAAAACGCTTACTACTACTGCGCGAAGTATGAAAGCCTTTTTTAAACAGAGTCCCCTTTTCGATACACAGCATTTCTCTAAACTGAGGCTCCTGTTTCTCTAAACCGTGCTTCGATAAAACGGGCCCGTTCTCAAAAATTTGCTTCGACGAAATGGCATTCGAGCAACCGTAGCAAACCCAGCGTCGAGCATCACGCATCAGCAACAGAAGGGCGACCGACCCAAGGCGGTACGTTACCGCCGCTTTTATACACGCAGTACGTCGGGGAACATTTCGAATCGGAATACACGACAAAGGCCGAGAATGTGCCAGAACTTTACACGAGCGTACAGACTATACTCCGTTTCACCTTATGTTGTACCGCAGCGAAGGCTGGAAGCGAGAGCTCATAGCGTTGACAGCTGCCTTTACTGCACGAGAGCTTGTGCCGCCGAGATCTGCCCCAGAGCAAGGAGATCGCGCTTACAGCCTTTCTTGCGGTACAGCATAAGGTGAAACAGAGTATAGCTTCGTTCGATTTACCTACACTTTCTGCACTGGTGCAGAAAAGTGTACGGCAGTGTACTTCCTGTACTCAGATACGACCAGAAGTACACCACCCTACACGTTTCTGCACCAGAGCAAATAAATCGAACGAAGCAACCAATAAAAGAAGTGAGCCAAACAGGTCCCGTTCCTCCACGTGTGGAGCCAACTGCGCCACGGGTGCGTTAACATTTCTTACGCATCATTCTTTCATTGTGGACTCGAACTAATTCTGACAAAGTCGTAAACAGCGCGTAGGTTCGACCTCCCAAGTAAGGTAGAGTTCCACATAGTTCCAGGCGATGCCAGCACGTTCTCTCGTCGCGAGCAGTTACGAGAGGCGGAGTACGCTAGGACGCAGACGTGCCAACGAACCTCTATTGGCTCCGCTGTTTCCGACGACGCAGAAAGCGAGTTGCTCACCTGCGAGATGCCTCCGATGCCCAGCTTGACCCTGGCCACGGCGGAGGCGAAGAAGCGGTCCATCCGCTCCTCCTCGGACAGGTCCAGGTGTCTGGGGTCGCACGCCTCCACGCGGGACTCCTGGCAGTGCACGCTCCAGTTGAGACACTGGCACGCCAGCACTGCCATGACAGCCGCTGCGGAGGTTCTTCGGCTTCAGCAAGGAGGTTGCACCGCCGCGACAAATGAGGCAGCTAGCCTTAATGTGGTCAAAACCAATCTTGGGCAGGAACTGGTCACCAGTAAGGCATTACCGGTAACTAGTTACTTTCCTTCAGTAACTCGTTATTGCCTAATGAAAATAACTTGTAATTGTAACAGGGTTACCATTTTTCGAAAGTAACTATAAAGAGTATCGTCGTTTCAATTACTTCTCAGATTTATGCGAGAAAATGTTGCAAACATGACCACCAAATCGTCTCGCAACTCATGAGAGAGTCCCAGGTCCTGATACGGAAAGGGCGCAGCAAAAACTGCTGCAAAAACAATCTAAAGCGCAAAAAAATAAAATTGTAAACGAAATTTTGGGTGACCCTACTAGACAAGCTGGTCCCGCCAACTGGGAGGATGGGGGCATTTGTGTCCGTAGCCGCCGTGTATGGTACATTACCCATAGCACACACAAATGTAGCAAAGCGCAGCATCTCTCAAGCGTTCCTCTTTTCTTCGTCCGGCGAAGGGAACGAGTGCTTTTCACATAGGAGCTTTTGGTGATTGTCACCCCAAATGCCCGCAGGCTTATGGCACAATTGATTTTTCGAACCTTGTCTTTTTGCTGCCAAGCAAACGTTTCCTTCCCCTTTAATTTGAATTGTTCAACTCCCAAACGCACTCTAGCGGGGTCTTGACTTTAGGCCCATTTGCTCCCCCTTCTCTTCTTTCTGCAACCTAATTACCGGCCTTGCCTACCGTCACCCACTTGTCCCCCTTTGCCCTGCTTCTCCAGTACCGTCACTTGAGAGGGAGTATTTGCACGAATAGTCTGTATCACTCTGCTCGTTTGTGCGTTCTCTTGCAATTCAAAGACCGTCCTTAAGCCGGGACAAGGGGCACTTGGCATCAGTTGATTTATTGCGTAGGACGTGGTATCGAGGCTGCAGGGCAAAATCAAAACAACCGAAATGGCGGCGACTAAGCTGTTTTGTGACTGTAAACTGAGGAAATCACGCAAATTATGTCTGAAATATCGAGCCATAAGCTTTATGGCGTCCGAAATTTATAGCCGAGGTCTAGACGCGCGCAGTTATATTTGTGAATAACTTATGGTGGTTCTTTATAAATCCTCAGCAGGTATCTGCTAGCTTTAAAATTTTGAAGAACTAAAGTCACCTGTAATTTTGCCAAAGAAGAAACTCTAAATGCTTTATTATATGATTTACCCCAATTACTGTCTTAAATTATGATCCTGTTCAGGGGGCTATTTATGGTAAAAATTGAAATAGAAAGAACCAAATATGTTATTATTGATTCTTGGTAAAATCTTAGTTTCTCAAAAAATCAGATTCACCACCGCAAACAACCTAATGTCTTATGAAAAATCTATGCTAATTTAAAAACATTATAAGGAAGGTTTCTTTTAAACGTTTTCTACTATTTGTTTGTAAAGTAACAACGAAGTAACGACGTTACTTTAGCAAAGTAACTGTAACAAGCTACTCTTCCAATTTTGTAACTGTAACTGTAGCAGGGTTACTTTCTCTCCCTGAGTAACCGTAACACTGTTGCTTGCTAACAGTAACGTGTCCATGACTGGTCAAGACCTTGCATTGTATTGTATGAAACACAATAGAAGCCTTCTTGCAGTGATGGAACCGGAATTTGACCTTGTAGCAGGTTCTTTAGCAGGCAAAATATTGGTTTGCAGTAACTACTGATACCTTTGGAGCAGGTGCCAACACCTATTAGCACACTCGAAAATGAAGAATTAATTGCATCTCTAAATGAGTTCACCTATGATAGTGATCGAGGGTTCCTTTTTGATACTGTACCATATTACTTATTACCTTTTTGTAATAAGAATAGTTAGGGTGCAAAAGGACCCTTCTTTTTAGAAAGAGGCCCTGGTCAGAGTAGGTTCCATTTACAATGAGTATTAAAAATGGTCGAAAAATCAAACGTAGCGCAACACTTCGGTCAGGGTAAAGCCTCTCTCTCCTTCCACTTTAACACTCGGCGGTTAAGCCCATAAATAGAATTTCCCTGAAATGCCAGCAAGAACCAGCATATTTGCTAATGCATCTATTAATAAAAAATTGCCCCCCAAGTTTCATGAACCCCTCACACTCAAGACTCTAATATCATAGACTGCAGAAACAACCATTTACAAATATTATGAAAGACTACACTTGCGCTTTAAAGGTGACACTGCTCTTTAGCGGTGTTGGAATCAGAGTTAAGTCAAAGTTTACTGCTCTTTCAATCGACAGCTGCCCGGGTGCTACGTGACCGTTAATGAAAATAAAGACCGATGTTCTCTTTATTCCTCTCCTTTTGCTCAACTACTTTTTTTTTTTAAAACTACTTTTTTTTTTTAATCAGAGATTAACTTACACTTAAGACAAAGAAGGACGACCCCCAATAACCCTGAGCCTAATCTGCGTGCCTATTGGGCCAGACCAGGTGCTCCCCCGGGCCAGCCGCAGCTCCTAGCACTCCGGTGCAAAGCGGTGAAGCTCGACACACGCACGCTGGTGAGGGGACCCCGGCTAGACCAGTCAAGTGCGGGGAATGTCCCATGACTTTACGCTTTAGTATGCCTGTTTGTGGTTGCAGATGTATTAGAGCACGGCTTTTAGGCGCCCGTTCCCGGCTTGAGCAGCGTCAACGTAACCGCGATCCTTCCCCCCCCCCCCCCCCTCCCCGAGGACCTCGGGTTCCTTCGGGAGGACCTTGGGTTCCCTTGGGACGACCTCAGGAAGACTTCAGGTTCCTTCGGGAGTACCTCGGGTACCTTCGATGACCTCGGGGAAGGGGGGGAATCACGTGACCCCCCCCCCCCCCCCCCCCGAGGTCACATGACCCCACCCCCTCAGAACCCTTCCCTCCTCCTTAAGAGCTGCGCTCTAATTCGGCATTACGGGGAGTTGTAAACAGCTTTCTCTTTTTAGCCTATGACTGAGCCTTGACCTGGGATGAAACAAACCATACGGTGAGTAGACATGCATGAAATACATATTTGTACCATTTTCTTTTATTCCTTCTACTTCTCCAAACATTAATCAACCAATAATAAACATATCTAATATTTTTGCGCTAAGCCCATCTCGGCACAGGCGTGGCGCAATGTTTAGCAAAAATGGCATTTTGGCGCAAGATGTAGAAGACTTCCGTTCATGGCACAATTGGCACAGTGCTTCTATCATTGCTTCTTGGCTTATGTGGGAATCAAGCTGTAAACTGTAAAAATAAATAATAACAAATAAATTGTGTCGTATAGTAAATCTCAAATTTCGTTTTCTGCGAGGCATAATCCCTTTAAAGCAGCTGTGACAAAGAGTCATACATTACAATTAATGGTACAACTTATGGCGGTAATTCAGAAACTGACGAGCTCGATAAACAATTCTTTAGGGTGCATTGGTGCGCAGTACAAACAGATAATTTAATTTTGTTAAAAATGATAATTTTATAATTTGGAATATATTATGATATTACAATTTATTTGATTCCTGGGATGCTGAAGGACAATGACAACATCTCTGTCCAAGTGACAAGAAGGAAAAAGGAACTCTTTGGATGGATGGATGTTAGTAGAATGTGCGATAAAAATGTATAACATATTCCATCGACTTTTCCTTTTTAAGCGGGAGTTAATAATGCAGGAATCGATTCTGTTGCTATGTGTAGTATACTGAGTCAATCATATCTCTCACTGTAGACTGCTCTCGTCCACAAATAAATAAAGCCCTCTGATAACATCCCCACTCTAGCAAGCGGTCACATTCTTTTTCCTGCTTTATCTCATACACACAAATCAGCGCTGATAAGACAAACTACACCTTGCCTTTGCAATCCTGATATCTGAATCCATCACCACAACATGGGATGGGGTTCCCAATTTTCCCGCCAAAATATTATACCAACACAAAGAAAGAGTAACATGCAACGTACAACTCTAAGCTTTACCCCGGAGAAATTTATCAACAGGATTGGGTAATAATTAAGCTAACGGCAGAATGTCAAGGAAGTCAAGATTGTCAGAATGTCAGGGAGCATGTAGTGCATCGTTTCATCCAATTCTTCCCGTTGTAATTGTTTTTTGGCGCTTTTCGAATCAAGGATATCTGGTCCACGAGTTCAATTATAGATTTGCCAAATCCACACGAAATACACAAACTGACCTGTCACAACTAAGGCACCGACAGCAGGTTTTGGGCATCAGTTTTTACACTCTATACTACAAAGTAATGTGTCTTAGAGGTAAAGGCAAACTTAGAAATACAGACATGGTTTGGACAAAAACTAATAAAGACTTAAATATATTTGTTATTTACTGCTAGGGGATTAGCTCTCTCTCATTGCTGGATGCACTGCAGGTACTTGGTTTTGCCTCATGCGGAGTGGTGTGGCACTCAGTTGGTCGAACGACGTTTTAGCAAACGAAGTCCTGCCCCCGGCTTTTCATCGAAAGACACTTCAGCAAAAGGTTGGTTGCTGCGAAGCGTCATGTACGGTTGGGCCAGGTGGGCTAACATTTTCATAATGAGCCGCCGCAGACAGTCGCTGCGAACGACGGGGAGCGGGTGGGTAACATGCGCCCCGGTGATGCGTCATTCGCTAAAACGTCAATTCGCTCCAATGAGTGCTGTTCGCAAAAACATGATTCGCTCATCTGATGTAAACCCTGCAGTGTGAGTTAGGCACATCAAATGTAAGTCTGTGTAATTGTTGCCTATTGTTTCGTTTGTTACAACATGTTTATTGTATACTATATTTTGGGCCTTGAAACACCGTCCTATGACACCTTCCAAGAGAACGTAATAATATCTGTAACTAAATAAATGAAAAAAATACCGATATGTAAAGAGGTCTAAACCTAGCTTGATTGTTTCTACTGAGTGTAAAACTGGGATGTCAAAATTTATTTGTGTACCTACAGGGTGTGGCTGGAAGGACATTTGGCACGCCTCGCAAAATTCCAATTCCAAAAGTACATACCTGGAATGCAAACGTCATTTCGCAAAAAGATTTTTTTTTTAAAGCTAAACTCGGGGCTCGTGAAATTAAAAAAAAAAAAAACTCAAACGGCGGTAGTGCTTTTTCTGTGTCTGGCCTGCTCTTCGTCTGCATGCTAGTTTGCAAGCTCGCTCCCAGGAGGCGAGGTGAGCGCAAAAACACTGAGAACGTCATAGGAGAGGCTGGCAACAAGCGGGATAACTGCAATAAATAAATATTTAAACGAAATGTACAAACAATGATGCAGTTTCAGTTCGCATTTACAAACAAGCAAACTTTTCTGTTCGATAATACATAAATTCTAACGCAGACAAATGTTTGCATAATTTTTTCGTCCGCTATCCATTTGTGCATCTCCGCTGGTCCTGGAGCGTGTCTCCAACTGGTGCGCATCCTATCCCACGCACACATCAAAAGTGTTCCCCAAGTGGCAACAAATGACGTCACACAAGCCGAAGTGTCCTGCAGTCAGATGCCGCCATCGTGGCGAAAAGCATGAGCAAACGCGATTGTCGGCCAAGCTTCCGTGGACTGTCACACTGGAGTGCAAGCTGCAGAAGAACTGGCGTCTGCCGATGCTGCTGGGACACCGCCCGGCCGGCAACAGTGTGACACTTGTACGATGCCATCAGGCAGACATCGAGGGACCACTTTTTTGGACGAGGCAAACACACCAGTCGGAGATGCGTTCAAGGCAGCATACTGTGCGGGGCGCGGAAGGGACATATGAAGAGCAAATGGATAACAGACGATAAAATGAAACAAACATTTGTCTGCATTAGAATGAATTTTTTTATCAAACGAAAAAGTTTACTTGCTTATGGGTACAAACTGAAACTGCATCACCTTCGTATATTTCGTTAAAATCATTGTTTACAGCAGTTTTCCTGCTCGTCGGCAGCTTCTCCTACGACATTCTAGGCGTTTTTGCACTCACCGTGCCACCTGGGAGTGAGTTTGCAAACCTGTATGCAGACGAAGAGCAGGCTGGTACTCTAGTAACATAGGCAACGTTACTAGAGTACCTTAGTTGTGGAACTCTTGCAGAGGGGGGATAAGTAACTCACTTCAGTCCACCTCCTGTCGTTTGAAGCGCCATCTAGATTTTCGTTTCAAAATTATGTGTTCCATAGGTTACGGCGGAACACCATCTAGACGCTGCGAGCTGGATAAGAATAAGGTGCAAGCGAGCTGGACAAGAATAACGATAATAATCCCTGGAGAAGGAAAACGAGGGGACAAAGGACACACACAAATTCAACTAGCTGTGTTTGGAGATTTGTGTTCGTCCTTTGCTCCCCCTGTTCACCTTCTCTAGGGATTATTATCGTTGTACGCATTCCATAGAACACAAGGCGCTTCACATAACAGCTGCTGGCGCATCGAATGACAGGAACCGAGCCATGGTGGAAGAGACTGCTCGTGTAAGCGGCATCTACTAGTTGTTCCGTAACTGAACTAATCTAGTAACATAGGACATAGGAAAAATACTGCCGCCATTTGAACGTTATTTCTTAAATTTCACCAGCTCCGAGTGTAGTTCTAAAAAAAAATTTACCTAAATCTTTTTGCGAAACAACATTCGTGTTCCGGGCACGTAGGTTTGGAACTTGAATTTTCTGAGGCTGGCCAAATGTCCTTGTGGCCACAGCCTCCTTTCAGGTATTACAGTGTCCCCACCAACACTCAGCCATGAGCAAGGGACCCAATCGGCCCCGAAATGTCGTACTACTTGCTTAAAGTTTGTAATTTTTGTCTGAGGGGCAATCTTGTAGAATAGCGACAAAAGAAGAATAGATCTTGTCTGATCACCTAAACTCAATCTTTCTCCATGGTCACCAATGCACCAATGAAAAACCTGGTACACCAAGAAGAGATAGTTGCGAAAAATTAAGAAAAAAGAGCAACTGACTCGAGGAAAAAAATAATTACCTTTAGACTACACTTTTTTTTTTTTCCTTCACATCATATGACAGGAGGAGCTTGAATAGTTGATAAAATGTTGTGCTAAAATGATTTGCCCCATACTGCTGGAAATGAAACTAGACAAACATTCATACACTGGACGAGTTTCACACAATTTGCTGGAGGTAATTATTCCTTCGTACTATCCAACTGCACTGTCAGTTGAGTATTAAAAATTTTCCAGATGATGTATTTTTAATTGTTTTAGGCTAGATATTCCAGAGAGTTTTGGTTGGTTTCGGATGTAAACATCTAAAATTTAGATGTCAGTTCTAAATCTTTCTCCAGATATTTATTGCGAAGCTGTTTTGCACAGGAGCACGCACACAGAGTTGAAGAGGTCTTTGCCTAGGCAGGAACAGGAAGGAACACGGCAGACGATAGCTGGGAACATTTCTTCGCTCTAACTTTTCTTTAGTCTTAGGTGAGAAGAAAACCACCCTCCTGTAGTTTTACGACTTTTGGTGTGATCGATATTTTTAATGATTAATAGCCAGTGCATTTTCAGTTTATATCTTAAAAGGGGAAAAACTGAAAGGACCTTATGCAGAGAAAAACACAAATAAAAACACCGGCTGTTGTTGTTGTTGTTTTTTTTTGTAAATTGTTCGGCCACTCTGTTTATGCACGATGTCAACGCTCGCGTTCCACCAGAATCTGACAACGGAGACGCCAGAGCAAGGGCGTGCCAAAGAAAACGAGTAATAAAAGTTGTCCGATCGAAAGGCAAGAGCCCACGCTTTGCAGAAAAGCCAGCCGAAGATGCCGCCAATGAGCCCGGGCGTCGCTAAACGCCGCTGTTGCTGTGCGCCACAAAAGCACCGCCGCACTCCGACATGACCGGTGAAAACGCATCTACACAGCCGTAGAGATCTTCCCCGCCACCCCGCCAAATGTACACGAACGAAAAGCGCAGTTAGGATCGTGTGATCACCAGGCAGTTGGACGAAAATGCACTCAGACGCTTCGAAAGAAACCGAACAAAAACAACGCACCTGCCTTCCGTCACATTTCGCCGGAGACCCGTGCGGTTGATCGCCGACGGAGACACATGGCAGGCTCGAGCAGCTTGCCGTACCAACTGGTAAGAACTAACCCGACTCATCCCACTCCAAAACTCACCTCAGCTTGTTGACGGAAGTGAAGGATGAGGTTAATGAGGAACACCACGGGTTCGCCGAAGTGGCCGGGGGAGGCGAGGTACAGCGCTTGGCCACTCGATTCACGCTTGCAACGGCGTTGACATCACACTCCAGCTCGATGCAGCGATATTTTGAAAAAGGTAGAATGTTTACTAATGCCGACCTCCAGTATCACGTGACTTGCATCGCAACACCAGTGGTGCTACGACGCTGGTGTGATGCTTGGCGAGACAACGAGGGACAAGTCGGACAAACACGACGGACCGACGGACCCACGGACGCCACAGCTGTAGCCCCCAAATTTTCCCAACACCAGGTGTGCCACTACTCGTAATAAAGCATAACGTACTCGAGTGGCGCTGCATACTGTTTTTTTTTTTTAAGTAAGTAAATCTAGTAAATCAATAGGGTAAAATTTGACGAATAGGGAGAACGCTTGCGCCACCTAGCCATTGTTTTTAAATTCAGCAGTCGATATTTTTTTTTTGTTCTTGTTAAAAGCAATGTCTTTAGCATAGAGTTATTACAATAAACGCTAGAGGCTCAGCTGGCGCTAGTGTCTATGGGACTTCCGGTTGCAAATTGAAGCAGACAGCATGCAGTCTAGATTTCCAGCCTCCCTGTGTATTCCTATGGGAAAACGCGCATGAATTTTGTCTCTTCGCCGAAAAATAACGTGAATAACTTTTGTCATTTCGGTTGTACCGGATAGTATGTACCTTTATTGATATTGTGAAAGTGTAATTGCTTTAGTTACAGCATTTTTTCTTTACCACTGAACGATGTTAAACTTCGCTATATATCAGGCGCAAACCTCTATTCCATGGCAGGTATGTAGAAACGAGCGACAATTCTAAGCAAAATAACAATCGAAAGAAATCTAGAGTGTGTTCAAGGTTCGCCAGCATTCCGTTGGTGCTTATATATTGCTAATATATGCCTGTCCTCTCACTATACGAAAATGACCCCGTCGTGCGCATCTCTACGAGTGGTTAAAAAAACGTTCGAAACGTAAAGAATAAAGTATGTGGGCTACGAAAGGTGTGTTTTCTTATTATTTCTTATGTTGGGCAGTTTTTATCGCGCGCCTGTTCTCTGGCTTCCCCCTATTTGCAAATATTTGGAGCGTGCGGGTGATGATCGATTTGAACACAGAACAAGCATCTTCGCGCATATTCACGAGCAGGAAGCATAACGCAGTATTTATTTATTATAAATCGGACTATATTACGTGACTTTCAATTTGTTGTGATCGTCTGCAAGCAGAGTTACTTATCCAGTGTTACTGCGTAGTTCTTGCCGTCTCTCTTCGTTTTCCACATGTCCTTCGTTCGTTTGGCACATATATCCCCCATACTGGAAAGCGCCGACGGCGTGTTCGCGCTAACAGTGTCCGACAGTGCACATAAATACATGTACGAAGCGGTTTTAGCACCGTTTTTCATGCCACGATTTTAAAATAAAAACGCCGTAACTGACCAATTATTTTATCTGCGTGTCTGGAAAACGTTCCAATGTGCCTAGTAGGTACGATTTGTTCGTGATATTGGCTCTTATAATCGAGCGCAGAGAGGAAATGCACTCGCTCTTTTCCGTAGAAATGCATTACCGGAAGTCTGCTTCAATTTGCAACAGCACACTAGCGCCAGTTGAACCTCTAGCGTACATTATAATAACTCTATGGTTTTTAGTGGTCAATGGTGTTACCACTAGGGATGTCGCGAACTTTTGTCGACCAGATTTTTGGTAGGGGTGTCGCGAACCGACAGAGGTTCGAGTTCGACCAGGTTCGACTTTTTCGAACTTTTAGTGGAAAGTTCGACGACCTTGTATTGAGGTTCGACTCGTGTGCGCATGCGCGACAGGCTGGCCGGTTGGCTTCGGATTAGATGGTGATGGCTAAGGGATGAACTAAGGGCTGCGCTGATTGGTAATTTCAGTTAATACAGTACACAAAATTAAGTTATTAACTTCTTTAGCGATTAGAATTGGTTTCTTTTAATTGCAACTGCTCCTAAAATAAAATGACCCTTTGTATAAAAAAAGTATTCTCCAAACGTAGACATGCTTGTACGAAGGTCTGGCCACACTGTCCACAAAGTTGAACCGGTCGAATCTGGTGAAAAGTTCGAAGGCGAAAGTTCGACCTAAAAATCCGGTTCGACAAAAGTTCGCGACACCCCTAATTTTTAGGTCAAACTTTCAGGGTTCGACTGGGTCGAACCGGTTCGACGAACCTTCAACCATTTAACCAGATTCGATTCGACCTGTTCGACGGTTCGACTTTGGGGACAATCTGGCCAGACCTCGATACAAGCATGTCTAGGTTTGGAAAAAAAAAATATTTAATGCAAAGGTTCTTTTTTTATTTTATAAAAAAGTCGCAATCAAAAGTAACAGCGCGCTTCTTGGGAGCAGACCAACCGCCCGCCGTGGTCCCGCCGTTACCGCCGTCTTCCGCGTCACAACCACCGTCGTCGTCTCACCGTTTGTGATTATTGCGTCTCGGAGTTTCGTCCACACTATGGACACCACGTGCGCAGAGTCCCAGACTTATGCCGCAGTTGTGCAGACGTCGTCGAATGCCGTAGACACCAAAACGTGGCGAAGAGTGCGGCGCAGACGACACTCGCGCCTGCCGCACGCCCGCCCGCCCCCATCCCGCCCGTCGTTGGGCCAAGGATCACGTGACCTATCGTACCACGTGATGGCCATGTACTTGGCGGCCCGAGGCCAATGTTGCCGGACGGAGCCGAAGTTTCGGTTTCGATTTCCGCTCGTGTTTAAAATTAGATTTAAAAATATATATCCCATTTTTCGCGAAGCAAAAGACGTAGTGTCTTCTACTAGGGCTTTTTAATTCGAAATCACTCATTATCCCGAAATCTTCGGAATTGAGCGGAGTTGCCCTTTAAGGGCGGCGCTGATTGGTTATTTGGGTTAATACAGTTGAAAAAAATTAACTTCTTAAGGGATTAGAATTAGTTTATTTTAATTGAAACTGTTCATAAAATTAAAATAACCCTTTGCACAAAAAATCGTTCAGCCTTTCCACTCTCGTGAAGGAGGAGGACCAACGGAGCTGTACTCGATACACTGTGTGCTTCTTCTTCGTCGCCGTCTGTTTTTCGCGCTGTTTCCTACGATGAATTCCCACCAACGCGCCCAACTTTACATCTACGAGCAACGGCGGAAACCATACTGGTTGTGTGCTTGCCGCAGTCGCTTATAGATGGCAGTAGCTGTCCAGGTAGGTTTGTGTCGACATACTGGACACCATCCCGGGGAACCTAGCCCTTAACAAACAGCTCCGCTGCAAAAAAAAAAAAAAATCGTTAAACTCAGACATGCCTGTGTCAAGGTCTGGCCACATTGTCCACAAAGTCGAAGAGGTCGAATCTGTTTAAAAGTTCGAAGGTTCTTCGAACCAGTCGAACACCGAAAGTGCGACCTTAAAATCCGGTTCGATAAAAGTTCGCGACAACCCTAGTTACCACGAACCTCGTTGTTTACCACTGATCTCTATGACAATTTACTGGATCGCGCATCGCCGCTTGGTCGCTGCGGCGCAAATGCGACTGCAGGATGGCCATCTTCGGTCACGGAAAAACGACCTTTTGGAGCGTTACGGAGGCTGGGCGACAGCGTGCTGAAGACACGTTTTCTGCTCGTTCGTCGTCATTCCCCGAAGAAGTTGGTCAAAACTCAGTGTAAACGGTGAGAATCGCATTTAAGAACACGTGAAAAGGTTTACCAAATAGCAGCATTGCAGGAAGAAGGCACAACCGGTCAAACACAAATCTCGCCGGTCTTGCGTCGTGATCAAAGCTTCCTTGGCACGCCGAAGTGCATGCGTCTCTGCCTTCGCACGCTTGAATAACGACCAATAATCAACGCAGTGTGGATTCGTTTCGCGAGTGCAACGTGCGTGAAGACGTATGTGGCTCTGAAGCAGCATTTAACTTTACTCTTACGACTGTAATTAACTTGCGGCACTCACGGTTCAGAAACGAGCTAGATCCAATGGCGACGGAAGAGGGGTCGGGGGGTAAAACGACTGCACGGATTGCACATGACCATATGGGCCGCGTTTAAAAAAATGCAATCTCGCCGTTTCATACTTCTGCGTTCGAAAACCTACCTCCTTCTACGGCTTTGCTCTATTTGCGCTGTCATGTGATCCACCGGAGAAGATTCGGAGCAGCTGGGCGACTCAGAACGTCGGCGCAGCCGGGCGATCCAGAAGACATCGACGCGCGACACACCTTCAAAACTTTGCCACGGCGTCGATTCTCGATAAGTATCCAAGCGTGCGAGGGCAGAGACGTAGCACTTCGGCGTGCCAGGGAAGCTTTGATCACGCCGCGAGACCGGCGAGACTTGCGTTCGACGAGTTGTGCCTTTTTCCTGCGGTGCTGCACTTTAGTAAAAATTTTCACGTGTTCTCAAAGGCAATTTTCACCGTTTACATAGAGTTTTAAAAAACGCCTTCGGCGAATGGCGACGAACGAACAGAAAATGTGTCTTCAGCACGCTGCTGACCAGCCTCCGCAACGCTCCAAAAGGTCGATTTTCCGTGTCACAAGATGGCCGTTTGGTGGCCGCATTCAGGGAGCGGGGAAGCACGATTCAGCAATAGACTACTTCCATAAAGCCCTGCATGCAACACGGCGCGCGTTGCACTCTGGGAACTAGTTGGCCAGGGAGGAGGGTGGCATGGTTTCGGTTTCGATCGACACGTCGACAAGAGATTGTTTTCTGGTCCCGAGAGCGTCATTTGTGGTCTCTAAACTAAGCTAAATGATCATACCTCGAAGCTTTAGCACAATCGAGAGACGTATAGCTTGTCTTAACACATGCTTGTCGTATTTTTGTACTTGAGCCTTCCTGTTAGCGTTCCAATCGAGGTATGTGGACGAGCCAGTGCTGGGAGTCTCGACGCTGCGAAGCTCGGGCGCTCGGGGATCTTGCTTGTGTACGAATCAACAAGCTGTAGCAACCAATAAGTATGCATACATCGAGCTCGCGCCTTTACATTAGTGTTGTTGATCAGGAAGTTTGCTTCGTGCGTTCATAGACGAAATATTACTTTTTGCAATTGCTGTTTTTCTTAATGTGCCTGAGTACGCGAGGTAGAACTCGGAGGTGCCATTGAAAAGCTCAATTTTAACACACTTATCTCTTATCTGTACTGACCCGCAGCACTGCACGAAGTGAAGTCCCCACCCACTTGCATTCCACTAATATTCAACATCGCGTATGCGCATAAAGTTATCCTGCAATCATATAGGCAAATTCGCGCATACAGGCCGTTTTAAGAATGCAAAAGT